GCCGACCTGGTTTGAACCCCATCTCAGAGGTACTGCAGTCACCGGCGCTGCCGTCTGGTTCGCAGCTGGTACCGATCTTCAGAGGTGCCGCAGTCACCGACGCCGCCGTCTGATTCACGGCTGGTACCAATCTGGGGCCGGGCTGGCGCCGGGGCCGGGCCGCCAGCCGGTCGCCAGCCGGCGCGGCTATCTTGGTTATGCAGTTTGGCGTGGCCTCCGGCCGGGTCGGCCATCGGCCGGTATTTTAGCCGCCGCGCGCCTCGCCTTATGTTTGTTGACGCTCGGCGTGTGCACGAGCCAGCCGTGACGCCGCGCCGAGGCTTTAATGTCCTCCGGGTGACAGCGGCTGGCCCGGGTTGCCAGCATCGCTGGCGACGTTGGCGCGCTCCTCGAGGAGGGCTTGGCTTCTGACGGCCTTGGGTCAGGGTCGCGGTGACCGGGACTGAATGTCCCGCGGTCTGGTGTGACTGGTTGTCCCGGCGTCTGGCGAGACTGAATGTCCCGGCTTCTAGCGGAACTGAATGTCCCGGCATCAGTCGAGACTGAATGTCCCGACTTCTAGCGGAACTGAATGTCCCGGCGTCTGGCGGAACTGAATGTCCCGATGCCTCCTGGTACGGAGGTCCTGCCGTCTGCGTGCAGTGGTGAGGCGAAGATCTCAAGGTCCTGCTGCCTGCTTGGAGTGATGGGGCGAAGATCCCCGGGAGTGTGACCCGGCTGAGCAGGCTCCCGTTGACCTTTTGCCCTTACCAGATGGGTCAGCCCGTCCAGGACGACAGGCTGGCCACAGTACCGGGTGGGACGTCGGTGCGCACGCGTCTCCGCTCGGTATGGCCGCCTACTCCTCTGGCGGTGTTGAGCCATATGGAGCGACGGTGCTTCCCCGAGACCCGCTGCCGGCTGCCCCGGCGGTGGGCTGCGCCGGAACGGGTTTCGGGACGCACCACCGTCCCGGGACGCCCACGGGACGGTGCCGGGACAGTCCCGGGACGGCGCGCGGGCCCGGCCGCCACCTGGCGCCCGATTCAAACGAGTGCCGCGGACCGGCCGAGGGCGTCTATTCCTGTCCGGCGGGCGGCTGAGGGGCCGCCTGTGACGCAGGCCAGCTCAGTTTAGCTCGCCCTGATCAGCGGCTGCTGACGGAGGAATGTGGCGCGCTGGCGGCGACACTGCGGCGACGCGGGGGCACGCACGTCCGCACGCACAACACGCCCCCGGCGAAGAAGGCCCCCCCCCCGCAGCAGAGAACGTCGGTGTGCGCAAGAGAACGCGAGCCCGCGCGCGTGTTGACGCGCGTCCGTGCGCACGTGTTTAGCGGAAGTGCCGGCGCCCGCTTATGTCCTTGCGCGCATGTGTGATGAAGTTACCCATACTGACATGCATTTGATTGGCAAACATTATATATATATATATATATATATATATATATATATATATATATATATATGTATAAGCGTTATCATCATCATTACGTATGATCACTGAGCTCAGCACCACGAACCGCCGTTTGGATCTTGTCGGGAGGGTACGGGGAGCGTGATCACCCACGGCAGTCGTGATTTTCCAGCCGGCGCCTGCCCGCTGCCGCGACACCGGCCGTGGCGCCGCCGTCGCGAGCTGCGCTGGGGCCGGTCGGCGGTGGAGGCCCGGCCGCGGCGGCTGTGCCAGCTGGCGGCGTCGGACCCTGCTCAGCAGGTGACCGCCATACCTTTGGCAGCTCGCGATAGACGCCCGGCGCGCCGGGCTCGGCGGCTCGGCCCGTGGCACCAGCGCTGCCTGCTGGTCTTGGGCGGCGCTTGGTGGGCGCGTCTTCCGCCGATTCGTCGGCCAAAGCTTTGATTAGGGGGCGCAGTGGGTTCAACCCCTTTCGCCGCCGGAGCTCGTGTTCGTCAGAGATGCCGGACTGGCGTGACGCCGCGGCGGAAGCGTTCCCTCGATCCCAGGTGCTTCCTGCCACACCCACCACGTGCTGTCCGTCGATCCATGGATGCGAGCCGCCTACGCAGGCCGGTGCACCTGATCTACTCCGTTGTGTTTACTACGGCCGCCGGGCGCTGCCGAGCGCCAGCGTGCCCGTGACGCGGCCCAGACGCCGCGTCCACGTGGCCGGGCGGCTCCAGCCGGCGCCTGGGGCGCCGGCGTCCGCGTCAGCTGCCGGCGGCGGCGCGGCCGGCTGTGGCGCGCGCTGATTGGTCGACGCCAGTCACGCCACGGCCGCCCGTTGCGGGCCAGCCCTGCCACTATCGCCGACCGCTCGGCCGTCGACCGGACGCCGAGGCCCCGGTCCGGACGTCCCCGCGGGAAAGGAGCCGGCCCACGGCCGGAACCGGCCCCCGCGGTGGCCGGCTGTGCTGCTCCAAGGGCGGCGCTGGTCAATGTGGCATTGCCAGGGGCCACGCCAACTTCCGTCGAAGTGGGCGTGTTGAGAAGCCTGCTCATTCTGCGGGGCTGTCATGCCAGCGTACCCCGTCCGCCCCAGCGATGGCCGGGGGTGGAGCTGGGGTTCGGCCGGCGGCCGTATCGACCGTCGAGTCCGGCGCTGCGTAGTAAGACGGCAGGGCCGGGCACGGGTTGGGTCAATGGAGCGCGCCGCCACGCACCGGCACTATTGAGTCAGGCGCGCCGGCGAGCCGGCTGGGCGCGTGCGTCAATTCGGCTAGCGCAAAGGATGAGGCCGCGTGATGTACCTTGTCAACCTTAACGACTAAGGTAGGCTGTGCTGTTGCCGACTGAAGCCCGTCTAGCCAGGGATTGTAGGAGCTGGCGGCGCCGGTGGGCCACCGAATCACACGTCGGTTGACTTCAAGGGCGCCGAACGGTCCGTCAAGCGTCGCCCATGTTAGGTGCGTCGAGTCGGTGACTGCTGAAGGTGACACACCAGGATTATAACTCACAAATCGCTGTTAACTTGGAAATTTGCTTATATTTAGAGTTCTATTTCAAACCAGTATGATTTGCATAGAAATAACTTAAGGATCTAGCACCATCCTACAGCAGTAGGTCTCGTATATTTATTGATAACAGAGCAGAGCCAGGATGTTTGCTCAGCGGCCGTGGAGGGAGCCCGGGCCCAAGCCCGAGCCCGAGCCCGAGCCCGAGCCCGAGCCCGAGACCGAGACCGAGTCCGAGTCCGAGTCCGAGTCCGAGTCCGAGCCCGGGCCCGAGCCCGAGCCCGCGCCCGCGCGAGCGCCGGAGCCGTAGCCGGAGCCGGCGCCGTCCGCGGTCATGGCTGCATTCCTGGCGGCCGGTGAGCCGTTGGCGCTACCGCTCGGCCGGGCGGCATTCCTGGGGTTAGAGCCGGCGGCGGCCGCGCCACCGGCGGCGGCGTCGGCGGCGGCGGTGACTCCCGGCGGCCGAGGTCTGGCTCCGACCGCCAGCGAACCGAGGGGAAAGCTGAAGTGAGAGGGCGGGTCACGCGGCCATGCCACTCTGATTCCGTCGTTCTGTTTGGTAGCTGCAGCCTGTCTGTTGTGCGGAACACTGAGATCCGGGGGTCGTCGGTTTGCGAGACACAGAGCGTACGTTGTGGGAGGTGGGGCCTGTCAACCGCGCGGTTACTCGGGCCGGTGAAACGACGCATTTAATTCGAATGTGACGCCTGCGGATGAGTTTGCGGGCGCTCACGGACGTGGGGTTATCTGTCTCTGTCCCTGCTGTCCACGTGCTGGCCCTCGCTGCTGGCCCTTGTCCTTGTCCCTGCTGTCCGTGTGCTGGCCCTCGCTGCTGGCCTCCGTCCCTGTCCCTGCTGTCCGTGTGCTGGCCCTCGCTGCTGGCCTCGGTCCCTGTCCCTGCTGTCCGCTTGCTGGCCCTCGCTGCTGGCCTCGGTCCCTGTCCCTGCTGTCCGCTTGCTGGCTATCGCGGCTGGCCTCTCCGCCGGTAGCACCACCGTCCCTGGACGTTGGCACGCGGCCTGGTGTGGTCTGGTCTGGTCTGTGTGTGGTCTGGTCTGGTCTGGTTTCGTGTGGTCTGGCCCCCAGCCGGCGGTTCAACCGGTTCTGGCGGCCACGTGCCGCGCCCGGTGACCTGTCGGCAGGTGTCAGCCCCCCAGTCCGGTGCGGCCTGCGCTGCCGCCGACCGGTTACTGTTGCCGGCCGGTTACTGTTGCAGGCCGGTTGCTGTTGCCAATCGCTCACTGTTGCTGACAGGTCACTGTTGGTGACGGGTCACCGTTGCCGGCCGGCTACTGTTGCCGGCCGGTCACTGTTGCAGGCCGGTTACTGTTGCAGACCGGTTACTTTTGCCGGCCGGTCACTGTTGCTGACCCGTCACTGTCGGCAACCGCTCACTGTTGCTGACCGGCCACCGTTGCCGACCGCTTGCTGTTGTCGGCTGGCGCGCAGGCGGCATCTGCTGAATGGCAGCAGCTCACGCTGATACGCTCGCATTTTCCCGGAGGACGTTTTGGCCAAGCCCTTTGATTCATGTGACGGCAGCGCTGGTCAGGGAGTCGGCTGATGTTTGATCTGCTGGTGTGCTTTGGCAGTGATCGGTTTGTTGCATTCGTGGTGCCTGTTGAGTCCCTGTTTATTTATGAAATACGATGACCTCGGAGGCGGTGTGGTGCGGCAGGCAACCGCAAGGGAGGGGGGGGGGGGGGGGCTCTTCCGACTACGAGACATTTTCCTTTTAGTCATGGCCACCGTGCACCTAGAAGTCGGCGCATCTTAAAGCATGGGTCGTCGTCATCGTCCGCTTGTTGGTCGCACGTCAGCCGCATCCTAAAACGCGAGTCGGCATTATTATCGGTTTGTTGCTCGTATGTAAGCTTTTTGTCCAGAGTTGCTCGTTGGACACGGCTAAGGAGATCTTCCCCATCTCCCCTACGCTACACGAAGTCAGCCGCCGCGGTCTCCCCGTCCGGCCGAGAAAGCACGCGAAGCGCCACCGCCGTGGGAAGTGGCGCGCACCTCGTCATCCCGCCGTAACCGTATCCGACACGGTTACGGACCGGACGGCGACACCCCGCCACCGGCCGCTCACCGGTACCGTCACGTTCGCAGGGGCCCGAGCTCGTGAGGAAGTCTCGCATACCGTACGCCGGCGCCAAGGATGGGCAGTACTTCAAGTACCTGGACGAGTCGTGCAAAACCATGTTCGACGCCTTCCGACGGGGCGCTAAGCTGTCCAGTGAGTGAGCTTCAGCTGCTGCCTGCGATCATTGTGCTGGCTGCAGATTTACTGAAGTGATCTGGTCGCAGATTGTACCGACATGATGTGACGGGGTTAAATGTCTGAGTCATCGTGGTGATCAAGACCGTTTGACGTCCGCCACTTGTGTCAGCACTGTTGTGTACTTGTGAGTGCACGCTGCACGTTGAACAAACGCTGACCTCATTGTTGCTTGTTGTGATGTGTCCGTGCTCACAGATTCTCAGCGGTGGATGTGTTGGGCATCGCCGCCTTTTCTACCCTGTCAGTCGCAGCGTCTGTCCTGCCTCTCGTCTGGACACAGACTGTCAGTCCCAGCGTCTAGCTCCTGTCCCACCTCCCGTCTGGACACAGACTGTCAGTCCTGGCACTTGTCCCACTTCCCGTCTGGACACAGGCCGGCAGTCCCAGCGTTTGTCCCGCTTCTCTTCTGGACACAGGCCGTCAGTCCCAGAGTCTGTCCCGCTTCTCTTCTGGACACAGACCGTCAGTCCCAGCGTCTTTCTCACCTCCCGTGTGGACACAGGCTGGCAGTCCCAGCGTCTGTCCCGCCTCCTATCTGGACACAAACCGTCCGTCCCAGCGTCTGTCCTACCTCCCGACCGCACACGGTCCGCGTGGGTCCTGTCCTGCTGACATCGCACGTGTCCCCCGCAGACAACGGTCCGTGCCTGGGCTGGCATGAGGACAAGGACAAGCCGTACCAGTGGCTGGCCTACAACGAGTCGCTGCTGCGCGCCAAGAACTTCGCCGCTGGCCTGCTCGCTTCCGGTACGTGTGTTCAGCGATCGCCTCCGTTACGTGTGTCCAGCGCGCGCATCCGGTACGTGTTTCCAGCACGCGCCTCCGGTACGTGTGTCCAGCCGTCTCCGGTACGTGTGTCCAGCACGCGCCTCCGGTACGTGTGTCCAGCGCGCGCCTCCGGCACGTGTGTTAACCGCGCGCCTACGGTACGTGCGTCCACCCGTCTCCGGTACGTGTGCCCACCCGTCTCCAGTACGCGTGTCCAGCGCGCGCCGGTGACTGTCTGTCGGAGCTGGAGCGTGTGACATCGCCGGCATCGCCGCCGACCGCGCCGGCTCAGGGCTGGGGCCCGCGCCGCCCAGTGTGGCACGAGGAGTGCCGACCGGGACTACGCCGGTGTTTTGTGGTCGTGGCGGCTGCGGTTTTCCCCGGGTGCTGGCCGGGATTTAGCCAGAGCGGATTGTCGAGAGATTCATGGGCATTGTTTTAGTGGTGACATCTGACAGCTGTAAGCGCTGTTGTGTTTGTGTTGATGACTGACAGCGAACATGCTCGTTATGTGTGAGCCTGTCGACATGCAGACGGCTGCGTGTGAACGCCCTTGTCGGGCGGACCTGCAATCAGTGTGGTGTTTGTTTGTGTGTTTATAGAAGAGGCATGGTCGCTGTTTGTTGTCGTGTGTCGATAACTCCCGGCATGTGCCCGGCGGCGCAGCGTCTCGGTCGTTTGCGGTCCCCGCCGACCGACCCCCGTCTGTTAGCGGTCCCCGCCGACTGACCCACGTCTGTTACCGGTCCACGCCGACCGACCCCCGTCTGTTAGCGGTCCCCGCCGACCGACCCCCGTCTGTTAGCGGTCCCCGCCGACTGACCCACGTCTGTTAGCGGTCCCCACTGACTGACCCACGTCTGTTAGCGGTCCCCACCGACCGACCCCCGTCTGTTAGCGGTCCCCGCCGACTGACCCACGTCTGTTAGCGGTCCCCGCCGACCGACCCCCGTCTGTTAGCGGTCCCCGCCGACCGACCCCCGTCTGTTAGCGGTCCCCGCCGACTGACCCCCGTCTGTTAGCGGTCCCCACTGACTGACCCACGTCTGTTAGCGGTCCCCGCCGACCGACCCACGTCTGTTAGCGGTCCCCGCTGACTGACCCACGTCTGTTAGCGGTCCCCGCCGACCGACCCACGTCTGTTAGCGGTCCCCGCCGACCGACCCGCGTCTGTTAGCGTTCCCCGCCGACTGACCCCCGTCTGTTAGCGGTCCCCACTGACTGACCCGCGTCTGTTAGCGTTCCCCGCTGACTGACCCACGTCAGTCAGCGGTCCCCGCCGACTGACCCACGTCTGTTAGCGGTCCCCGCCGACCGACCTGCGTCTCTCACCGCCGCGTCTCCGTGTCGCAGGTCTGAAGCCCGGCCAGGGCACCAACGTCGGCGTCTACACCCAGAACTGCCCCGAGTGGGTGCTCACCGAGCAGGGATGCTACAGCTTCAGCATGGTGCTCGTGCCGCTGTACGACACGCTCGGCGAGGACGCCTGCACCTACATCATCAACCAGGTGTGCACTCCGTTCGCTTCACGCCGAGACGCGCGCCGAACGGCTCCAGTGTTTCAGTGGGCGTCTGTCGGTGACCACGCGCCGCCAGCATAAGCACGTACTTGTATTGCGGAGAACGTTCTCCACGATCCTTCCGCAGTTGGCTCGGGCGGCAGGAGACGGGAGCCGGGCTTAATGACGGGACGTCGTCGAGATTCTTCAGTCGCCGGTTATATCGATGTCGGCTGACTCGGCACGGGCTACGCCGCGGGCCGACGGCGGGGCGGCCGGGCCGAATTTTTGGCCGTGCTCTGGCGTCGTCGCTGCGGCAGCGGCGTCAGCACGGCTGTGACGTCAGCACGGCTGTGACGTCAGCTGTGACGCGCCATCGGAGATTGGTCGGCCCCCGGTGACTGTGGTCTAGGGACCGGGACTGCACTGCTAGTGCCCGGCACTCGTGTGGGCGTGTCCAGGTGCTGGGTCTTACGTCCGGCCGGCCGGTGTCGGTCTGCTGGCGACGAGGAGGCCCGGCGCTGGAGCCGATCGCGGCCGTGGAGCGGCACCTCACGGCCCCCCCCCCCCCCCCCCACAGCCCGGCAGTTTTTTTATAAATTTGATCCGAACCCTTTGAAAAGATGGATTTCTGGGATCAGCGCTCACGCCAAGCAGCGCTTGTTGTGTGAACCCGGACCCCCACCATCCGATCGCGCAATTCCAGGCAAGGGCAGAATTTAGTGCCGAAAGCTTAACGTGCCGCAGTGCTCGGCACGGTCCGTCCTGCCCTCTTGTTGATGCGTAGACCACGCTGCTGGACGACACACATGCGATGATGCTGATGATGACCTGGCGGCTGATGTCGCCAGGTCATCAGGAGGTGCTGGCAGTTGCGTTGTAAGACCCCGTCGTCGCTGCAGGCGCTAAAAGAACGCTAGGACCGAAGCGTCGGTACATCCCGGTACTCGCCTGACGAAGCGTGTCCTCGGTGTCGCGGTGCCCGCTCGCGGGGCGGCGTGGGACTGCCTGCGTGACGCCCGCCTGTCCGCTGCCGACAGGCCAACATCTCGGTGGTGGTAGTGGACACAGGACGCCAAGGTGAGCACGCTGCTGAGCCAGCGACCGCGCCCGCTCACGCACGTGGTCAGCACGCGGCCTGTCAAGCCCGAGCTGGCCCAGCGCGCCAAGGACATGGGCATCAAGCTCTCCCGCTTCGCCGACGTCGAGAAGCTCGGCTCGGCCGCCAACATCAAGGAGACGGTGAGAAGCCCCAGATCGCAGAGCCCAGAGCCCGGACCCAGACCCAGACCCAGACCCAGACCACCTGGACCCCAGACCCAGACCCAGACCCAGACCCGGACCCCAGACCTAGACCCAGACCCCAGACCACAAACCCTAGATCGCAGACCGCAGACTCCAGACCGCAGACCATAGACTCCAGACTCTAGACTCCAGACTACAGACCCCAGACCACAGACCCCAGACTCGAGACGCCAGACTCCAGTTCCATACTCCAGACCCTAGACCGCAGACTCCAGACACCAGACACCAGACCCCAGATCCTAGACCCCAGACCCGCCGGCTGCTGGTAGATTTTTTGAGCAGGGTCAAATGCGACGTACGCCTTCCAACGGCATTGCTGTCAGCCCCCATTCTGTGAAGTGGCGGTTGAAAACTCGCAGTCCATTCTCCCTCCCATACCGCTTGTTTATATCGGGTGTGTCCCGTTTCCGCGACCTCCGGGACCCCTGTGACCTCTGACCGTGACCTCCACCCCCGCCAGCCGCCGCGGCCTGAGGACCTGGCCACCATCTGCTACACGTCCGGCACCACGGGCAACCCCAAGGGCGTGATGCTGACGCACGAGAACATCGTGGCCGACGTGGGCGCCGTGCTGCTCCAACTGGGTGACTGCAAGCCCGACCATACGGACACGCTCATCTCGTTCCTGCCGCTGGCGCACATGCTGGAGCGGGTCTGCGAGGTGAGAGGGCAGGCCCAGCGGCCGAGCGAGGCGAAGGTGGACTTCAGAGAAAAACTGGAGTGCGTTGGGTGTTTGAGATGGACCGGTGGGGACAACCTGAGCGATTGTATTTCATAATGCGAGCAGGAATTCGGTCTTAAGGATTTTGTTTTGTTCGGAGGTGCTCTGCATCTCACTTCTCCCCGCGGCGGTGGCGCCGCCGGTGACAAGAGCCGACAGTTCAGCTTCGTTCGCTTGCCGGCAGACGGCGATGTACATGCAAGGCGGCTCTGTGGGCTTCTTCCTGGGCGACATCCGGGCGCTGATGGACGACATGAAGCACCTCCGGCCCACGCTGATGCCGGTGGTGCCGCGCCTGCTCAACCGTATCTACGACAAGGTCTGGTCCAACGTGGCCGGCAGCAAGTTCAAGACCAAGATGCTGCAGTGGGCGCTCACCGCCAAGGAGACTGAAATCAAACGGTCAGTGGGCAGCGTCGTCGGTGTGGGGTTTGATTTGAAACTCCGGGAAAGGCGATTGACTGCTCAGACGGGATGTTGGGTGGTCGCAATACATTGGGCTTACCGTGCTTGCTTTGGGCTTCCCCCCCCCCCCCCCATTGAATCTGAATTGTTGAAGGAGTGAAAATAGAGGGAGAAAAAGGGAGCGGCATATATTCACACTGTTCGTCCACACGTTTTTCTTTTGGGTAATTTTCCAAACAATGGTGCACCTCTAACTGGCTCGTGTTATCAGCGACAAGGGTTGTTACGTAAAATTAGCCGGGGGCGGGGGTGAGTGGCGAAAACGACAGAGCATACCCCAAAAAGCCCATAAACGGGATTGCCCGCTGATTTTGCCAACTTTCTCTTCAGAGTTAGGTGGGAGCTGGAGCTCGTCATCTCCCAAATAAAACCGAAACTACACCCGTGGTCAGTGAGCAGACCCTACCATGACTCACTCGCGTCAGACTGCTGTGCGTGTCAAGCCGCGCCTTCCGGACGAAGTCGCCTCCCCTAACGAGGTCCCCTCTCTCCCTTCCTCACAGGGGCATCATCCGGAACGACTCGTTCTGGGACCGGCTGGTGCTGAAGAAGGTGCGGGACTCGCTGGGCGGCCGCGTCCGGCTGATGGTCGTGGGCTCGGCCCCCATGGCCGCCAACGTACTGACCTTCATGCGCTCCGCCCTCGGCTGCACGGTGAGACGGCCGCCGCCGCCGACGAGGGGTCCGCCGCCGCCGGAACGGCGACTGGGACGGGGACGGCCGGGGCGCTGCCGGTGGTCGGACGGCGGGAGGTGGGCAGCGCTGGCCCGCGTGTCTTGGGTGGTGTTTGCCATTCACGATTGCAAATCCGGATGGTGTTTGCCATTCACGATTGCAAACCTGTTCAGCTGACGAACCCGACTACTTCTTTTCACGGGGTTTGTTATTATTACTGACAGATTGGTGCTTATTATTACTGGACAACTCAAGTTGTTACGGCTTATTAGATCAAGATGGTGACGACTGATTAGCAAATCGCTGTAGTTTTCCTAGTAGTGCACTATTAGGCATAGGCAAATGCTGTATGAGGCTGTAGCTCATAAGTCAAATTTTGTACTGTTTTCGTTTCCCGACCCGTGTCTGTGCCCGTGCCCTAGTGCCGCAGAGGGGAGGGGAGGGTGAGGGGAGGGGCGGCGCGGCGTGCGCGCGGCAGCTCTGACCGGCGCGCCGCCGCCGACAGGTGCTGGAGGGCTATGGCCAGACGGAGTGCGTGGCGCCGTGCACGCTGACGCTGCAGGGCGACTGCCGGCCCGACCACGTGGGCCCGCCGCTGGCCTGCTGCGACATCAAGCTGATGGACGTGCCGGACATGCAGTACTTCGCCGCCTCCAGCCAGGGCGAGGTGTGCATTCGCGGCACGAACGTCTTCAAGGTGAGCCGACCGCCTGGCGGGGGGGGGGGGGGAGGGGGGGGGGGGGGGGCGCCGCGAGCGGCGGGCGCCGACCTGGGGCGACCCGACCGCGCCCGGCCCCACCGCATCGAGCGGTGAGGCGTGATGCTGCCCGCTGCGATAGTCTGTTGCTGTTCGGGTCATGTCGCGTGCTTCGGCTGCCCGCTCGGGCGTGGGAAACCTGCCGTCACCTCTGAGCGGTGACGGCTGATCGCGCCGCCCGTGCGCGCGCTAGCCGGGCGTCCAGTCGGCAGCAGTGTGTGGGACAGCCGCGCGTCCCCGCCGGCCTCGCCGCGAGTCAAGCGGGCGCCGCTGTCCGGCAGGGCTACTACAAGGACCCGGAGAAGACCAAGGAGACGCTGGACTCGGACGGTTGGCTGCACACGGGCGACATCGGCCAGTGGCTGCCCAACGGCACGCTGCGTATCATCGACCGCAAGAAGCACATCTTCAAGCTGTCGCAGGTGAGCGCCTTCGCCTCGCCCCGCCTCGTTTCGTCTCGTCTCGTCTCGTCTCGTCTCGTCTCGTCTCGTCTCGCCTTGCCCCGCCTTGCCCCGCCTCGCCTCGCCTCGCCTCGCCTCGCCTCGCCTCGCCTCGCCTCGCCTCGCCTCGCCTCGTCTCGTCTCGTCTCGTCTCGTCTCGTCTCGCCTCGCCTCGCCTCGCCTTGCCCCGTCTCGCCTCGCCTCGCCCACAGACGGGGGACTTCCGTTAGGCTCGGCCCCGGCGCGCTCGGGCCGTAGCGGCGGCTGTGCACGCGCCCACGCCAGTGCTTTGGTCTTTCAGCTGCCTTTACACGGAACAATCGTGGACGGTTACAGTTCGGTGCGGTGCATGCCGCCGTTGGCGCTCGGGCTTGCTAGTTGACGCCATCGTCAGAGAGGACGTTCTTTGTTGGGTTAGATGCGGCCGGTGCTGCTGCTGATATCGGGTACTATGGGCCCGGCTTCTATGCCCGTGTGCATGACATGAGGCCAAGACCGCTCTGGCTCGATCCTTTCTGAGTCCTCTCGATTCTTCCGGAATCCTCGGTCCTTCTAAGTCCTCTCGGTCCCCCCTGAGTCCTCTCGGTCCTATCTGAGTCCTCTCGGTCCTCTCCGAATCCTATTGGTCCTCTCTGAGTTCTCTCAGGCCTCTGAGTCCTCTCGGTCCCCTGGGAGGACTCGGGGAGCGTCGGTCCGTATCCGAGCGCCCCGGCCACTCGGCCGCTTACGCCGCTGTCCTCCGACCGGCAGGGCGAGTACGTGGCGCCGGAGAAGGTGGAGAACGTGTACATCCGGTCGCAGCTGATTGCGCAGCTGTTCGTGCACGGCGAGAGCCTCAAGTCGTGCGTGGTGGCGGTGGTGGTGCCGGACGTGGAGGTGCTGAAGGCGTGGGCGGCCAAGCACGCCGTGCCCGGCACTCTCTCGGTGCTCTGCCAGAACGCCCAGGTCAAACAGCTCATCCTGGACGACATGAACCGGCTGGCCAAGGAGGCCAACCTCAAGAGCTTCGAGCAGGTCCGTGGTGGTTAGCTGGTAGAGTTGTCCGCGGCGCCGGGACTCACGGGGTGTGTCGCCGCGAATTAGCGGACGCGTCACTGACTGGTGCTGGTGGTAATGGTCGTAGGCGATGTTTTGGCTGCTAAGGCAGCGTTCGTAATGCGAGCTATGTGGAGTGGTGCTGGCCTGGCGGGAGAACTTCCTGCCAGGAGGAGATGCTGCGGGCGGCTGGGTGAACCTGACCAGCTGCTGTGAGCGTCGACGGGTCTGGCTCGACGCCGGCGATCGTCTGACCGCCCGGTCTTCCTCACAGGTCAAGGACATCTACCTACACCCGGACCCGTTCAGCACGCAGAACAACCTGCTGACGCCGACGCTGAAGGCCAAGCGGCCCGAGATCCGCAAGTACTTCAAGCCACAGCTGGACGATCTGTACGTGAAGCTAGCGTGAGCGCCGCCGCCGGCGTAATCTGGCGCTGTCAGTTGGCTGTCCCCTCGCTAGATGGCAGCAGGTGGCCGGTTTGCGCAGCCACTCACGACCACTAGGTGATAGTATGCTAGCTGGGTTCTCAAGGCTCGGGAGTGCGGTGTGGAGTAAATTATTTGTTGTAGACTGGTTGTGCGTGGTGACCGCGTGGAGCTCACTTTGACTAGATGTGCGCATTTCTCTGCATCATCGACTGCATAATCTCCGAACGGGTGTGTGGAACTGGGAATCTCGTTATCGGAAAGACAGGCGAGGACGCGCGCTGGCGCCGAGCCGAGCCCCGGCTGAGCGTGAGATCGGGCCCAGTCCGAAGACGGGACGAGTGAGCGCGTGATGGCAGCAGATGAGGCTGGCCGCGGGCGCATGGCGTGTGGCCGGCCGGTGTGACGTGTACGATGTGGGCAAGTGTGATACGTGCGTGTGCGTGTGTGCGCGTGTGTACGCCTATGGACAGTATCAGCAGCAGGGTAATGGCTCTGGCGGGGGTGCGTGGACAACTGCGTCATGTCCCGCCCCGTTGCGGTGTGTGTCATCTGCCTGTCGCCACGGGATGCTGGCCTCAGCCAGATCCACCTTGTGGCTCCTCCCCGCACCTCGTGACTCCCCCCTCGCGTCTGTGACTGAGATCTTCGCTCCCTTATTGCGTGTCCTGCGGGGAGGAAGCGTTATGCGTCCCCCTGGAAGTACGCCCGGCGCGAGGAGTCCCGTGTCCCTCCCAGGGTGTCCCAGAAGAGGACCGTGTGCTTTCCCATGGATCCTCCGGCGCAGGACCTGCGTGTCCGCCTGCGGGTTACTCGCTGCGTGCGTGATCTAGACGGGTTAGGCTGTTCAGTTGATGCTTAGGACGATGTTGGCCCGGTGGTTGCCGCCGCGACCTTCGCGCATGTGAGTCTGCCGGACGCTGCTGCGCTGTCGCATCGAGTGAACCCTGGTAGCGGGAGCGAATCAGCAATGTCAAACCGAAATACCGCAGAGCACGAGTGTTCCGAATTCACTTAACATGCGTCGTTCATGTCAGGAACATTACTGTCCGTGCAATAAAGTACTATCCTACACCTTTGTTTCGCTGGCGATAGAACGGGATAGGCGCCGGCCGCCCGTTGATTCTTGCAAAATGCACGCGGTTTGTTCAAGATCATACAGCTGTGCGTTAGGAGACGCCACGCGCTCCGAGAATCCTGGACAGCACTGTGCCGCGCATCGGCAGCTGTTGAGGGTGTTAATTAGATCGACCGTGACGCAGGCGCCGCGTTACAAGTACAGGCGGGACCTGAGTCACCGGATGGTGACGGCGGTCCATCCTAGCGAGCGCCGGACGCCGGTGGGCGCGGAGCGACGGCTCTGGTGATGGACGGCCACGAAAGACGGCTCTGGGGACGGCCGCGGAGGGACGGCTCTGGGGACGGCCATGGAGAGACGGCTCTGGGGACGGCCATGGAGAGACGGCTCTGGGGACGGCCATGGAGAGACGGCTCTGGGGACGGCCATGGAGAGACGGCTCTGGGGACGGCCATGGACAGGCGGCTCTGGGGACGGCCATGGAGAGGCGGCTCTGGGGACGGCCATGGAGAGACGGCTCTGGGGACGGCCATGGAGAGACAGCTCTGGGGACGGCTATGGAGAGACGGCTCTGGGGACGGCCATGGAGAGACGGCTCTGGGGACGGCCATGGAGAGACGGCTCTGGGGACGGCCAAGGAGAGACGGCTCTGGGGACGGCCATGGAGAGACGGCTCTGGGGACGGCCATGGAGAGACGGCTCTGGGGACGGCCAAGGAGAGACGGCTCTGGGGACGGCCAAGGAGAGACGGCCCTGGGGACGGCCATGGAGAGACGGCCCTGGGGACGGCCATGGAGAGACAGCTCTGGGGACGGCCATGGAGAGGCGGCTCTGGGGACGGCCATGGAGAGACGGCTCTCAGGACGGCCATGTAGACGGCTCTGGGGGCGGCCATGGAGAGACGGCTCTGGGGGCGGCCACGGAGAGACGGCCCTGGGGCGGCCATAGACGGCTCTGGGGACAGCCTACCGCGGATGGACGGTTCTGGGACGCCGGCGGCCGCGGGAGGCGGCTCTGAAGACGGCTGCCTGTGGCAAACGGCCAGAGATCGCCAGGCCTCGAACGTCTCCCAACACCCCTTCCCAGAGCACAGAGCTTCAACACAAAGTTTATTTCCAAAAGCACAACACCAGCGGCGGGCTGGAGTCCACGCCCGCCCCACTGAGTCCACATAAAACCGGCACGTGGCCGCCCGGTGTTGTGACACCAGGCGAATCTGCCCGGTCCAGCTCGGACCGGACAGCGAGCCGTCCGCCGCTAGACACGGACAGACCAGAGCCACAGTCACCTCCAGCTACAGCCGAGCCTCTGGGTCAACCGACACCTGCGGCTTCTCACGGGCGCTATGACGTCACGCGCACGCCGGTCGCGGCGCAGTCCCGACATCGACGCCGACGGTGCCTGGGGCCGGCACCGACAGAACCCGGGACAGACACCGACGGCTTCCGTCTGCACTCGACACGAGCACCGCATGACCGCCGGTCCCTTCGCACACAGTCACAGGCGCATCCGGGCTCGGTGCTGGTGCGTCGTGTTCTCCAATCACGCTGCCTGAGCCTGACTCTCGGCGAGCGCTACCCCTCCCTCCCGCGTCGCCAGTGCCCCCTCCTCTCTGCCTGGCCACGGGCGGCGGCGGCCGGTCCGTCCCGCCGGCCCGTGCCGCGTCCATCCGCCTGCCAGCGGGCATCACCTCTTGGCGGCGGCCTGCCGCTCCCGACGCGCCTGGTAGTACCCCGTGTAGTAGCCGCTCACGTACCACGCCATCAGCATGTTGGCCAGACTCTCGGGGTCGGCGCCCGGCACCGGCGGCGGCGGCGGCGGTGGCGGCACGCTCGGTCCCAGCCACCGGCCGCCCTCCGACGCCCAGGCGCCCTGGGCGGGGCCCTGGGATGGGCCCCACGGGCTCGGCATCGGCCCCGGGTAGGCGCCGTGCGCCCCCCAGGGCCCCGGCATGGGCCCCGGACCCTTGGGCGGCCCCCAGAAGCCCTGCGCGGGCTCCGCGCCGCCCTGGTACGAGCCCCACGGGTTCGGCGCCGGCCCGGGGTAGGCCGGTGTCTGGGCATGGATGGAGCCGGCACCGGGGTCCGCCCGGCGGCCGGCAGGGGTCGCGGCAGCCGGCGGCGCTTCCTCCTCTCCCTCCTCTTCCTCCTCTTCCTCCTCGGCGGCCGCGCCGGCCTCCTCCAGCTGCGCCTGGCGCCGCTGGCGGCGGCGCGCCTGCTTGCCCCCTGACGGCCGCAGCTCGGTCAGTGCGGCGCGCTGCCGGTTGCCGTAACCGACGAACTGCAGCTCACAGCTCTTGCCGTCCACGGAGAGCAGTTCGGCCTCGTACGGCAGGCCGTCCACCGTGTACAGCGCCACGCAGTGCTGGCCGACGCGCCAGCGGCGCCCGCCGCCGGCCGCCGCGCTCGAATCGCCGTCACCTGCCGGCGCGCGCCACCGAGGTCAGGCCGGGGGACGCTCGAGTCGGGCTCACAGGGCAGCGTACGTCACGCATGCTCAGAGCGCATGTCATGCGGTGAGCAGGGTCAGCCTGCGCCGTCCGACGTCACAAAAGCAGCACGAGACCGTCTGACGTCACAAGAGTAGCACGCGAGACCGTCTGACGTCACAAGAGCAGCACGAGACCGTCTGACGTCGCAAGAGCAGCGCGAGACCCTCTGACATCACAAGAGCAGCACGAGACCGTCCGGTGCGACCAGAGATCGCATGTTTGTTCAGAGTCGAGGTCCATTCGTCGTGCCGTCCGGAGTCCGCAACATATCGGACCTGACGTCGCGACGTCGATACATAAGGGTCACATGTAGCCCATACAGACCGGCACTGGCTGGATTCATCGGAGCCCTCGTCTTAGCAATCCGAAACACAAGTCTGAACATCCAACCAGCGTAATTGGATGGAAAATGACATATGACAGAAGCTTTGCATATCCTTCACATTTGACAGGTACGGTACTTTAGATGTGCAAGTGTGCACACTGAAAATTGTATGTTGATGATAATGATGGCAATGCTTAACACGTACTCGTGCCTTCAGGCGTTCAAGAAGGCACATCCAGAATTGATTAGAATTATAGAATCGCTGTTACACCTACAAGCGTTCAGGAAGGCGCAGCAAATCCAAAATCGGCTCCATTTCTGCACGAAAGTTCAGCAATCACGACGGCTGTACAAAGGCATAAAAGGTGACAAATCAGCAGCACTAGAGCAGGTGCACACAGCATTATGCTTCCCCCGCCTGAACCGGGCGTGTTTGTGAGCCGGCTGGCCAGCTGGCTGGCGGCACCTTTCATGCCGAGCTCAGCACGAGCCGAGGCGAGCGCCCGGTCGTACGCCTGGATCAGGGCCGTGTCGTCCCAGATGTCGTCGTGCTCGGCCGGGTCCTCATCACCGCGGCAGAACAACGTGCGCTCGTCGGACATGGCGGCAGCGCTGTGGCACGCGCCCGGTGTCCGGCGGCTCAGCACGCGGCCCTGCGCTGATGCGGCGCCCGCTGCAAACATGGTGTTCATGTGATAAAGTGGGTGTGTGGTATTGGTTCTGGATGTGAACAATGCCAAGTGTCGGTAAAACAAGGCAGATTCATGTTCAGAGCACAGGGCAGGTGTGTGTGATTAGTTTTGGATGTGAACAATGCCAAGTGTCTGTGAAACCAGGCAGCTCAATGTTCAGAGCACAGTGTGTACCACAGATCTAGATCACAGATGTAGACAGATAAGAGATGAGGGTTATAATGATCACAATAAGAATCACCACTTCACACATTCATGAACCTTCCAGTGAATAGCTGAGGATGCAGGAGCTTCCTAATCTGCCAAGGAAGGGGTCTCCATAATGCACAGTGAAGTGCTTTACCCTAGGCCAATGTTAATAATGCCAAATTTGATATGCACTTGCTATTCTAGAGCAAAATGTTTACAAATAAGACCACAAGCATGCAACAAACACTCCCATCATTACTGCCACCAAGAGATGAGGCAGTAATAATAGCCTTATTCCTCAAAGAATAAATGGGGCAATGAAAGGAAGATGTAGTACATTAGGTCCATGACTTTGATAAAATGAAGATAGTCGTTTCAATAACCGCATGAGGCCAAATATCACAGCCATCTCTCTGATATGCAGAATAAGGCTAGTAGTACTGTCCCATCTATATGCATAAAGTTCCCTGCAAATGCATTTAACAACTCACAGCCACCAAGAGTTTAACTAACTGTGACATCTTTGCGCCGGAGCACCATTCCACCTAAGCCTCGGATTAACTTCTTAGCCACGTAGTATTATCATAGGATGACTCTCATTCTAGTCAGAACCTCCCTTTGTTAAATGAAATCCTACCTGCACTATTAGGCTTATGGAACCTCTAATACAACTCTAGTCATGATTCACAAACTCTTCATAAATGAGCACTTCTTAGAGAGTCAACTCAAACAATTCCTTTATGATGTGAGCTACTGAGCATTCATCAAAACCTCCCTATACAGCCAGACACAGGGCCACATAGGCCACATATTGAACATCCCATTTGTTCATATGCACAGAATATTGTATTAGCTTCATTCATGACTATCACTTTATATTGCAATATTGCTCTCTATGCACATCACTGAAACATGATTGACAATGAGCAGCATGGAGTAATAAGTCATGACTGATCTGGAGTGCAATAAGCAAATAGCTATTTTCTCCAACACTGACCCAATGATGTACAGTACCAGTGACAGTTGCTTTGCAGGCCAAGGCATAAGACAAAAAAATATGCACAAACATCTACCAGAAGCTTGCAAAAACAGACACATCAATCATTGCTCACAATGATACAAAGACACTGCAAAAACAATAAAATAGTCCAATTCTTTTCTACAAATGGTGCACATGAAGGCATGTACTGTCATCCATCCATTCGCCATCCATGTTAGGTGGCCTTGCTTTTAGCATCACAACTCCTAAGGCTTTTTACATCAACAAAACAATGTCAGCCCAAAGGTGTGAACCCCAATCGACGGAGCGCGGCAGCTCTCGACGAGATCTCGGGGCGCGGCTGGGGCAAAATAAAAGTTTTAGAGAGGGTAAATAGAAATTTTTGGGCAGAAATACATTGAAATGCGATACTTACAATAGTTTGGAGCAGATCGGCTATCTGGAAGCAGGTAATAAGTCCCCGCACCGGTAACTCGCGGTCAACCGCGAAGCACATCGCAGAGGGGGTAGAAATGAAAGCAACCCCAACGTTAAAGCAAGGTGCGTTGTATTTGTCTCACGTACGTCATATCTGTTTCACCCACTTCCACATTATAAAGAAAAGTTTCAGTTGTTTCCCTCAGCCATTTTTCAGTTGTTGCATGCAACGTAGTGCTTGTTTTTAACAAATACTTCCATCCATATCAGCATACAATTTTATTGCAATTCCGTCTCAATGATGAGCTTTTATTTACAGCGGATGGTTATAAAAGACCGTCAGCCAAAATTTTCGGGGACAAACTTAATTCGGCAGCCAGGATGGCCAGTGTTATCGCTCAAACGTACACATTGATTACCAATTGAATCAGCAAGCCGGAACGGCCAGGTTATCACCAGAAGGCCGAGTCATCGCCAACTGAAATGCATGTGTATCAAACCGACCTGGCAGCAGCGCTTACACCTCCGATTACTGGTGGGAGGGCACGCACAATCAGCGGAATGAATTAAATCGGAACCAAAAGCGACAGCTTGTCGCCCTCCGTTAATTAATTGGTGTCAGCGGCTGGCGATCCCAACCCACCCGTGGCGGTGTGAGGGTTCAAGTCGCTATGCTCGCGCTCGCAGTGACACATTTAGGATAACCAAACACGGGGGAAGCATTCCAGTGGGAACTCATCACATAGGGGTGGTGGTGGAATGGAATTGGCCCTCGCATGCTAAATATTGGCTATGCCTATGTGCACTTGCTATTTGACTTCCGACTCGGGCGGTCTGCGGTCGGTGGCAGCGGCTGTTCAATATCAGGGAGAATAAAGGGCAGGGAGACCGCTCCAAGCATCACGTTACAGGCAGCTTTTTCATCAAGTTCGGCCGCATAATTGAAATTCCACAACAGGAAGGTGAAGTTCTTGAGGAAATACAAGAATGCTGCTTCGCGTGAGCCCTGATCTCAAAATCATCGAATCAGAATGGTTTTAAGGACAATCATGACGACAACACATGTGCCATCCAAGCACGTATGTGAACCGCAGTTTAAACCACAGTTAGGGTAATCGGCCCCGGCTCAAGCGGGGTCCCGTGTCCTTTTCAGGGCCCAGGACAGAACTCCGAGGGGACCCTGTTTGTAACTAGAGCCTCTGACTGGCCATATCTTTCTATTGCTTCATTGTGGATCATTTCGTTAACATTTCTCTTATTTCCACCCCATGCCAGATAGAGGGCCTCGACCAATGCAGCAGGCTCTTGACATTCCGGGTCCGGTCCTATCCCTCTTCAGCAAAATGTGTCTCTGTTCAGCTAGAAGCCTCTTACCGACACAGGCTCCCTTGTTAAGCACCCTGTGCGTTAACACGCGCCCGGGCGGGGGTCAAATGGACCCCCCGAAGGTTTTTTTAGAACGGTTTCCGACAGGCGCGCCGTAGCCACGCCAAATTTTTCATAGCTGTAGCAAATTGAATAGCGGATCGTTTAAGATCAAAAATTTAAATGTATCTTGTAAGGTCACTGACCTATGGTAGGTCAAAATAAGACCATGGTTTCAGCGAAGTCAATTTCTAGGGAATCGCTCAATCTGATGCAACAAGTGTTAGACGAAGCCATACATCTCTGAAATGCTTTCTTAGGCAACACAACCGTTGAATAAGCAAATTACATTGACCTAAGGTCAGGAAGTAAGGTCAGACCAAGGTCAAAACCAATCTGTTTTATTACTCGAGGGCTCGCTGCATGGGGTAATTTCTGGGGCTCATTTCGAATTTATTGATAGAAGGAACCGCGTTATACATCTTCCATGGACTTCTTAGAGGTCGGAATAGGTTATTGATCTAAAATGACCCAGTGTAACATTTTTGGAACATACTGCTTAGCGCAATTTTTGTCGTTTATTTAAAGGAAAAAATCAGAGCGGCTTGCATAATTTTGTTTACTATGACCTTCAAAAGGTCAAGCAGGGCCAATGACCTTAAATGGGGATGCGACCTTTTTGCTTAGAAATTAGGTTCCGGAGGCACTTTGGAGACCAGTCCGGAATTCATCATTTTTATACCTCATTTGACCCGAAGCTGATGACCTAGGAACCTAAAAATTTGGTCTAAATGAGTTCACGTACAGGTCAGCACACCCTGTAAATTCGGTATCTCTAGCTCTCTTAGTTTCCGAGATCTCTAAGGGGGGGAGGGGGTGGTGCAAATTGACCCCCACCCGAGGGAAGGGTATCCAGGCGACCACCCGGGCGCGTGCTAATGCAGGGAAACACCTTGTTTCAGGGGCCCCGGCAAACCCAAGAGCCATTCAGTAACAATCACGGACACCGGCCTTGTTGCTGCTTCGTAAATGAGCCCCCAGGGTCCAAGCCGACTCGCGGCCAACCACTCAGCATTAGTGGCCTCGAACCTAAAAAGTCACCTTCCTCATCCCGTGGACGCCCGACAACCGCAACGAGTCCCTTTGGCCGACCTTTTGAGGGTCAGACCTTCGTCCGGGGTCGTCCCCTGGCCAGCCCTTCGGGCCCTCCAATCGGGCCCTTGACGGTTTGTGCCGAGAGTCCCGAATGCCACTCAGGGCTTAGCGGGATGATATGTCCTTCCGCTAAGCCCTGAGCGCCCCTCCCCCTCCCCCCTCCCCCAACCGCCATCGCCAGCAGCTGGCTGCACCCTTGGATGTTTAGGCACATGCGGAACTTGATGCCTGTCAGCGACTCACCCTCAGAACGCAACTCCAATGCGAATAATGGCATCTATGTCCCAAGACACTCGCAAGTTGATGCCAGCTTGGTTTAAAATATTATCGTTTTTCCTGGTAGACTTGGTACCCTGGTTTCCGACAGATTCTTGATTTTGTTTGCACAGATTACATATTTTATTTCCTGGGTGGTAATCGCCGGCCATCGGGTCTGCACCTCTGCCCATGCCCCTGCCCCTAGCAGAAGAGCCGGCTGTCCCCATTCGGAGCGGAATCGCACCTGGCCCAAACATCTCGGCGACAGGTCCGTGACCTTTCGCTGACTGGTGGAAGGGTATGTGCAGGCATGCTACACCTACTGAAAATGTAGCACAATGTGCTCGTGCCTTTAGATTCTGAAACGAGAGACGAGTTTAGCCCTTGTACTGTTTTGAGGCTGTGAAGTATTGGCCAAAATAAATGAGACATGATAAATGCTTTTATGTTGGTTCCGTACTTCATTCAAAATTGCATTCTCACCAGGCAAGAAGCTGTCTTAAATATGTTATCATTCACTGGCTTA